ACCTAGAGATGTCCCCGTGTTGCGATAGCTCCTTTTATTCCTTCCATTTCCCGACAATCACGGGTGATTTTGTGGACGGGGACGCCAAGTTCCAGGGGCATGAAGACACTGATTGTTCTCAATGGAGTTTGCATGCGCATTGTAAAACATTCATTAGGCTCATCTCTTTTTTCCACAGATACCATAATTTCTGAAGAGATATTTCACTTTTAATATTCAGCACCGACCATTTTCTGGAATTCCGTTATAGATTGTGGCTCAGGAGGCCCTTTTGTGCATCCATGTGGGTAGTGAACGCTTTGAATTTGGACAGTCTCGGAGGATTGATGTTATCCCCGCGAATCCTTGATGGAATAGGCTATATGTCAAATGAGAAGACGGGCCTTTGGAAATTGAAAGCCTTCAAGGCTTTTACCATGACGGCGATGAAAAATTTCAGTCTTTAGCATTCACTGATTCCCTCTAGAAATTGATTCTCCGACGGAACTGAAAGGAGTGACAGTGATAAAATGAAGGTGAATCCAGAACACGATTCAGCCGGCGATGTATGGTTGAAAATAAATCCGATTTATACATGAAAAAAGTTTTCAAGACGGAACCTCTTTAACGACAGACTCTTATGAGACCGTGAACTCCTATAAGTTTAGTGAAGGTTGAAACTGATGAATTATCCAATCTTCAGGCTTTTAGTGGGAGCGCGTTGGAATTATAGAACTGGTCCCTAACTTTGAAGGAGTTCTTTTTCCAAATTTCAGACTACGCAGTTACTCTGAACAGTACTTGTACCCCTATGGGTTCGGAAGGTGTAGAGAAATATTATATCATAGACAGAACACAGATTACGATCCATAATTCGATAGATTGCTGTAAAAGTCAAGTCGAAATGAAAACATCGGGTTCCGAGGAAGTGCTGCATAGTGTACTTCTACTAAGTTCCATAGCACGGCTTGATTTTGCGCAAGTTCGAAAGTGAGGTTTGAAATTTATACTGAAATTCTAACTATGAACTCCTAGGAAAACCATCAAAAACACCTCTGAAGATCAAACTTTTGTTGAGGCTTCGTCCCGCTGCGAGAAACGCCAGATAAAATCGAACTCCACCACCGCTTAAATGTTCAATACACAAGGGATCGTAGCAATAATGGTGAAAAAGAAGAGTGACAAAGCATTTGTCGTTATACATCCGTTTTGCGAAATCGCAACGATTTACTTTCACTTGTCATTATAGTGGCGTTTATGGAACGGCCATTCAATGACTTCGGGAGCCTGCTCATGTTCAAGTCAGTAAAAAACACTCTTTTTTATCCTCCCAGACAAGTCTGGCACCAATTAACCGACCCCGGAGGGATGGAAGTCTTGGTTGGCCGGGCGACTCACGACCCAGGATTTGATCCCCGGACCGCTCGCGTGGTAAGCGTGCCACTTGCCACTACACCACTTCCCCCGCCCTCAAAAGATCTGTAAAAATTTCAGCTTTCGAAGCGTATTTCATATTTTAGGTTTTTCACACCCGTTTTCCTAGTCGCATTTCAGTTTATTTATTTTTTTACAATAGGCTCCCAAAATCTAGTAGAAGGATATGCTTGGAGCAGGGCATTTGATGAATAACTTATAACACAAACGGGAGCGAATGCAGAAACAAATGAGTCAATGTATTATATGATTTCAGGAAATGTTCCGCACATTTTTGAGGGAAGAGGAAAAACCTTCTTGTTGCATTTTGGAAGAAAATGTTGACAAAAAGTGCCAATAAAGCCATCGATAAGAAATTAAATTAAAATTGCGAAGATTACAGTGACGGTGCGATCGGGTGGTCAATGGCCAAAAATGGTTTGCGCAGTTAGGAAACAGAGAAGATTAGCTAGAAGAAGATCCTCCACGTGAAGTTGTGTGCCCAAATTATAAAATCCCGAATTTTACAATCAAGACAGCACGTATTTACAGACTAAACTTGTTGATCTCGAAGAAGTGTTATTCGGCTGCAAATTCTGTTTTTGGTTTTTCAAATCAACTTTATTGGAAACAAAGTGGTTACCGTTACCCACGTTAATTTGGAAAGCCCGAAGCTTCCGAAATCACTTGTTGAGAATAGCGCGCTTCCCAAAAGATTATACTTCAATTTTCATGTGTTCAAGCTATTCCAAATGAACCAACCGTATTTTTTTAAATAATAAAAGAAATCCGAAAATATGGGTAGAAAAAATAAGCAGACATACTCGGTACTCCGGACACTAATCGAAGTGGTCGCAGTACTCGAAACGCTCGCAAAGCTTTCACGTCGAAGCCTTGAATGTTCATCCGAGACAGGATCGTACTCACCAACCTGCAAGTGGTAATTGTATCATAGATATTAGAAGAAGTGGTCAGCCAGACGGACTGACAGATTCCACATTGAGAAAGTCAGTGAAGGCACAGGTGCTACCTTGTGGAGTCTGGGATCGGAAACCGAAAATCGGAATTTTTGATCCGATTCTATTTTATAACGACTGCTTAATAGTTTGGAAACCCTAGTTACGACTGCGCGGGCTTAACGGAAAGGAGGAGAAGGAGATAAACGGCTGCTAGCTGCACATGTTATTTTAAATTCCCTATATGAGATTTCCTTACTTGGAGATGAGCCAAAAACGAGAACCATAAACCGAATGAAAGTGAATTCTAACTCAAGCCTGGTATGCACAACTGCACCCTCGAAGACAATAAAAAGAAACAAAGATAAACAAACTAAAGAGAGGAGACGAGACGGAAGCAGAATTGTTAAAAAAAAAAGCTGTAGATGAGTGCTTACCCAATGACGACGAATATAAAATCGAGGATGTTCCATGCGTTCCGAAGATAGGCGCCGGGATGACATATGAAACCCAGCGCCACCACTTTTAAAATACATTCGATGGTAAACACAACAATTAAACAAGTATTCGATTTGCTCCTGAAAAGATATGCTCCAATTTCATAGAAACGTTGAAAACAACACCCAAAAAAATAAACACAATCATAGCTTGAGTAATCCTATTATAATCTGTACTGTATTAGTTTCTCCAGGGGATATAGGAATTCTGAGCGCGATCTATCAGCAAGGTAGAACCGAGCATTACAATGAAGCTCGTGCAACCTGAGCCTATGGCTATGTCGCCATTGATATAAACTCCCAAAAAACCCCACTATAGTCTCGTTAGCCGACTTAGGTTCAATAGAAACTTGACGGGCTTAGGCCAAAAGCTCTAGGATTGAGCCTTTTTAGTCAATACGAACCGAAAAATATGCCTTATTAAAAAATGACCTCGATGCTGAAAGGCTTAACACAAAATACGCAACAAATAAAGCATCAAAGGCGTTCATCCATCGGAGTACCCCCATTCAACCCGAGAGACCATCAGACACCCTCAAAGTCTTTCAGGTCGTGCTCCCACTTTTGAAACGTTTTACTGATGTGGGGCACATCAACGAACATGCTTACGTTCCCGCGCAACCCTGCCCATTCCAAAAGAATGAGCTCAAGCCAGTACACCGTTTTGATATATATTCTCCGCTAAAGAGTTTACTGACGGTCTTAAGGGTAAAATTGGCATCTATTTCTAGCGGATACCATTTTACCACATCGTGCAGAAGTCAAACGAAAATGCAAAACATTGTCACCATGGGGATCGAACCATGAACCAAATATATATCCCTATTTTGCCCTTGAGAGGGCCGATAAGATAAACTGCAGTTGGTGGTTAAGGTAAAAGCTCATATTGAAAAAGCGGGCCACGACCTGAAAGACCTTTTTGTTTAAAGGATGAGTTGCCGTCACCGAGTGCGCCTCTAATTGGCTGGCAATCCGAATGCTTTCCAAACATCTTTCGCGACCCCCCCCCTCTCCCTCCTATAAAACCATGACCTTTACGCGTCAATGACCTCAGCTGCGTCATTATCAATATTATAGTACTTATACTTTCCGCAAATTTTCTTGATAAAGGAAAAAGAATTTACGGAACATTCACGTTAAAACTTAGGTAAAGAAGGGGAAATGGTATTGTCAGGATACGCGACCCCTGGGTGCCGAACGAGCCGCGTGGCAGCGAAAGCTTATAACCTTGGCCTTTTCGCATGGCTCAATCTGCGGCGCTGCGGTACCCACGACAATCTAATCATATCAACCAGGTCTATACGTGGCTAGTATAAGATGGCAGAGAGGGGTGGTGTTGAAGAGGCACAACGATGAGAGTTGCATCAATGCGCAAATCAAAGAGTAAGGAAAGGGGTCCCGTTTCTCGGGTTTCAAACCGTTTCAGATGGTTTCTTCCTCATCCCTGCTCCACTACCGACCTCTGCTCCTACTTCCAATCGTAATAAGTTCATCGTAACCTCTCCCTTATACACACGACTTTTGTTTGTTAACTGCTGTTTTTGGCCGCAGTTCGCCTTGCGAATGTTTCACAAGAATGCTGGGTTGTGAACAAAACTTTCGCCCCAGGCGGGACTAGAACCCGCACCTCTCGCTTTCCGGGCAAGTGCGCTACCAGTTACGCTACCGGGGCACCATTTCATCCCAACTCAGCTTTTCATGGTATACGTACCATAGCTTTCAGCACTCACACGTATAACGTGTTGAGCCGGTTAGCCGATATCGGCATGAACTAAAGTAACTGGTAGCGCACTTGCCCGGGAGCGAGAGGTGCGGGTTCTGGGGCGAAAGTTTTGTTCACAACCCAGCATTCTTGTGAAACAGAGCTTAGGCTTCGAACAATTGCGGTCTCACAATTGATTGATTTTCAGGATTTTCCTAATAGCACTTTCCCTGGAATTTCCACAAAATGACCCCATTTTCTTGATTCTCACATTATCTGTTTTTGTGAAAATGGATCAATTCTACAGAGCATCATCATTTCCACTGAAATCGTCCTTTTTGCTGTGTACCCCCTCAAGTGCGCAATAAGTTTAGCCAATAGACGTACTATCAGCCGCTCGGTCCCCGTACTTGAGCCGCCAACGCGAAACGCGGAGGATAACACCGACATATTGTGCTGCAGCTGCCGAGATGAGGTACTTGAGTGGTGGCGAATTGGCATAAAAAGAGAGGCAGAGACACGCTTCTTGGCGATTGTCACTCCGTTCTAGTGTTTACCCTCTGACGCCCATCATCCCATGTCGCGCGTTCTTCCTTGATCGCATTCTCACCGATCACGTCGTGAAGGAGTTGGCACTTTGCCATTGCCATTGCTGTAGAATTTTTTGAATCAAAATAACACAACTTACTAAAATAGTATTCTTTGAATCCGAATCCTGAGCAGGGTATGGCTGATAAACGGCTAGCGCTATACAATTGGCACATATCATCAACAAAATAAGGTACTCAAATGGCCTAAAATCAAGCACCTTGAAATTCTGCTCATTTAACGACTCTGAAGACCTGTTGAGAATTCGCCACTTTCAGTTGGCCCAAAATTCTAAGCAGGCTACACCATCCCTCGTCAGCTCCGCCTCATTTCCCACGTCTGTTTTTGATACCCTCATTTATAGCTGGGAGCAGAGCCAGCTACCAGCCAGCTCTGCCAACAATACCCGCCGAAGCCGACTCGCTTCCGGTCTGATTAGAGGGGAGGAGCTGACGGGAGAGCTATAATTGGCCGCATAATTCACCTCCATTCCACTACAGCAATACATATTTTCCTGATTGGATTATTTAACGAAAGACACAACAGCGATCGCTCGGATCTGAAAATAAATGGTGTTTACTATTTTTGGCCATATTTGATAATAATCCGCAAGAAGCCTACCGTTCAACAACATTCGACTGTCGCAGCGGTTTCCGTTGTTGCGGTCGTTTCTTGGCAATGTCCTGGCCAGTGGAAGCCGCCACCGCTGCCTGAAAATACAATCATTTTGAAGGTGGAGTTTCTGATGAAAAGACAGACCATTATAATCAATGGAGAAGTGATCAGTGGTGCAGGGATGAAGAAACATCAGGAAGAAGGAAACCATGAGAAAAGGCCCAGAGCCTGAGAAATGGGACCGCTTCCTTGCCCGTTGATTTCTGCATTGATGCGACTCTCATCGGTACAGCTCTCTTCTATACCAGCACTCCCTACCAAATGGCTGGAGCCAGACGGCGAGGAGGCGGGGGCAGGTAGTGGCGTAAGTGCGCAGATACGGCCCTGCTGGCCCCTGAGGCATGCCTTCCGCTTCGAAAAGCAAATCGTCTCGCGCCCTCAGGGAGCCCGCCTGCCTCTCAACTTGGCAAATTTCCCTTTCTTCGTCCTCCGACTTGATTGTGGAATACTCTTTTGATATGTATCAATTAACTAGTAATACTGTGAAACCCAATCAACATGGCTAGCAGCGGTTACGCTAGGTTTGAATGGGGTTTAGAGGGGACGAGGGGGTCCTCAATGGTACGTCAGTGGCGAAAGAAGCAGCGAAATCGGTCCAGGAAACGAGAAATGGGACCCCCTTTTGGGCCGTTTATTGCGGCTCTCAGATGGACTGCGGCGAAGACCGCGCACGCGTGGACGAGATTGCGCAACGCGTGCTGGGCAGCAAACGCAGGAGGCGTAATAACTTCCCGATGTTGCGGAGAAAGTCCCTTAAAATTTTTGCTTGAACGATAACGTTTCTTTATTTCAATGCACTCTACTTAACACACAAAAAAAAATAATTAGATTAGCCGCTTATCAGACAACCATTGTGAGCTACAAGACAAATTTAAAGGACTTCATTCCCCTAAACCACTTCGGGAAGATCCCTACGCCCCGCTTGGCGCCTACCGAGCGCGGGCTGCAAACACGCTCGACCAAGCACAATAATCATGGCGGGCTGTTCGCATGGGCTAAGGCGCATGTCCGCCTCACAACCAACATCACTGTGCAGGCAGAGCGCCACACACGCTCCTTGCGCCCTGCTATTGCTCTTGGGAACAAGTTCTCCGCAGATTGAAAATCCTTTCGTACCACTTCCTTCAAAGAGAATTCTACGCTATTAGTACGTAGACAGTATTTAGAGTGAGCTGCACTATAAACCGCGCAGTCAGTTGCAAAGAAGCAGATAGTAGCGTCTCACAGTTTCTACTGTGCCCCCTTCTACTTACTGAATGCTAGATAGCATTCCTCAACTATACTTAGCGCAGATTCTTAACTGACATAAAATTATGTCCAGGAAATGTCTTCACATGGCTCAGTAGCTGACGTTAAGCCAAAACAGAAGCTGAAGAAGCGAAATAAAATAGGGCTGTTGTGGCAGCCATACAAAGAAGGGTTTTCCCTTGTACTATATTTGCTAGAAATGATACGTAAAGCCACTACCTAAGACATTTTCGACTAGAAACTCTATGTAAAAACACGGAATTGAATGTCCTGAAGAGCGTCCAGGATTCTCAAGTGGTTAAAGGTGAGCAAACTTGTGATAACAATACACCGTGGCTATAACAACATGATTAATTTATTTACATGGTGCAGATCAAATAATATGACGTGCCGACTCGTTCGACAAAATCAAATATCGCACTGCTGCTTAAGCTCGTCTAATAATGCCCTCACCATAAATACGGAGTACTTCCAAGATAAACAACAGAGTAAAGTTTATATTTTTTTATTTCGTACGGTCCAGGACGCGCTTGGACAGAGCATGTTCGAATAGAAATACTATCAGACGCTAAAAAGGCAGCAGTCGTCCTCAGTTGAGTCACAATAATTGATGGGTCAACGTCCGACTTAACCAACTTGTAAAGGATAAAAAGCGAGAGAGGGGGCAGTTCAAAAGATTCCTTGAGTATTTTTTTGAACTCTGGGTCATACCACTAGGTTGATAAAGTGACGAATAATAAACAATAAATCGAGGAAGTTGAGTCCAGTTCGTCACTACGAAAGCCTTGGCCAAGGAAAGCAGAGTGTAAATATTAACAACTTTTTGATTGGCTTCGAGATGATAATCAGAAGCGAGAGTAAATTGGTAATGGGATGCCAACTCAACCATCCGAGTCGCATGCAGTTCCCAGTACTAATATTTCAATACCATAAAAGTTCACAATTGAATTTGAAAGCAATTTACCTTGGGTGAATTCCAGCATGGAAGCCGGTTATCTACGGTTTGCACTACCTGATCGTTTGGTAGCAAGCGCTCTGAGATCTTGTTAGAATTACGAAATAGACGGTCGAATCGTGCTGTTTCTGAGCGTTTTTGAACCCGAGTGTTAGAAAATTCAATCAGGTTCAACATTTAATGCAAAATCCAAAGGCGTTTTTAGAGGCGTTTGTTTCCAAGTGAGCTCTGGTTTATTCCTTTGAATTTCTGAGTAGTAATGATATTCAACCAATTCTGAGGTAGGACTGGTAATCAGAAATCATAGAAGGAGTCTGCTCAGATTTCTGAAACTGTGCAGCAAAAAAGGGATTTTTCAGTCGGTATTGGTGAGCCTGATGAAAAATAAGGTTTTCAAATAGTGAAGTGGAAAGACAGTGCTTACGATTAGGCAGATGACGCTACAAATTGGTGGCCGTTGGAAAGAAAGTAGAGGTGATTACTGTGCAGAGCCGAAGAAAAAACCCAAGGGAAAGGGCCTAAAGCCTGTGAAACCAGACCCCTTTCGGCCCTTGTTTTCTGCGCTACCCGAAATTATACGATAGATAACTTCATCAGTGCGAAGGCATTGCTCTTCCTGGCAGACTCTTCCCATAGAGACAATCTCTCCAACGCCAAGTCATAATTCGAGTTTAATACTTGAAGGCTGGAGATACACTAAGGCGGCCCTCACAACAAATAACGCCTTATTACGCCGGTGCGGATGCAAAAGCGCTTATTTCAGGGACATGGGCTTCTGTATAGCAAATCTTCCCCCCCCCTCCCCTGCTTCAAAATGCACACTTTACAGAATAGCGTTGACATCGAAAATCTTCTTGCAATCTTGGAGTGATGGGTTCAATCTTGGAAGGCTTGAAGAATTATTCCTATTGAGCGAAAGATCGTTTCTAATTTTCAGCTCCCTGGAAGTTAGCTTATGGAAAGTTTCCCTCTTGTTCAACATTTAGCGAATTGCGAGACCAAAATGGAAGTAGAAGCGAGGCTATTATCACCCAGATGGTAGACTAAGCTGACCCGCCATAGCTCCATGCGAGGGGTTCCTCTCCGATCCCTACTTACCCGTGTCCCTTGAATCCACCGCCCTACCGTCTTGATGGGTGAGTCAGTCGTTGCTGTTGAAATGAGTCACTGTCATGAAATGAGGGTCTTCGCTGTTTTTTCGTGTGTGGATCTCGATATTTGTCAACAAGATGAACAATCGTGGGGTCAATGTTACCCAGCAAGATATAGAGAGATGAGTGGAAGCGAAGAAGCGGTGTGGAACAATGTATGCTCTCTTCGTAAGTCCATTTTCACGGGATAATCTACAAATAGTTTTTTCTAACCACAGGAAACATTGCTGTTCGATAGAAATGAGTTATTTCTTTGTGCGAGCTTCCAAAGCCACGAGTCGGGTTTAGATCCCAAGAGCCAGTTCCTTCTCGAGTGAGAAAGAGAGGTCCCCAATGGCAGGAGGCACGACGCTGAAACGGCGCTAAGGCCTTGCCTTGTGTGGTGCCGTCCCGCCACCTTTATCAACCACAGCATACTTGGTCTCTGCGCCCTCTCACGTACGACGCACTATCTCGCGTTTTCCGCATTGATGCATTGCAGTACTTTTCAACACTGGCCCATCGATTCGTTGAAGTCGCCCCGGCCAGGAAGGGAAGCTAGGGCGCAGTGGTCATTTTGAGGAAGAGTATGAAATATATTCTTTGAATTAATAAGGTGCTTTGTTTGTGTCCAAGAACGCTTATTTCTAATCTGCCTCTCGAATCTGCTAAACGATTTTTCAAACACAGTAGTGGATTGTTTTTGTTTGTGAGATTTGGTCCCGACGACGTTGAATTGCCATTGAACCGACCTACGAATTGCCTCCGATGTCGAAGTTGTCAAGGGAGCGCACCAAGCAGGTGAGCCACGTGTCGAGAAAAGTTTGCACACAACATAGCCGATACAACCCTCTCCACCTCCTCCCCCCCCCGGCCCTACGTATGTGGGGGTCCTACGACTCATATCAGCCATAAGCCCTACATAGACCACGCTACCTAAACCTATACTCGGCCCAAAAAGTTCGTCAAAGAGTTGGGAGACGGGAGGGGTGGGGCATTTACCACAGTGGAATCGCTCTAAATTATTCCTATGTCTCCCC